ACTAACAAATTGAGCCAAGTTGAGTCTGTAGCACTTTCATTATGTAAAGCAGGAGTGAACAAAATAGGGAATCTAGGTTGTTGCTCTGACAATCATAAATATAGAAAAAAAAATTAGCAGACCAAATCATTCTAATACCACATACCAAAAACACATGCTAGTAGTGTAATTTCATAGAATCATTAAAAAAAAATTAGGGTTGAAAGGGTCCTCAGGAGGTCATTAAGTCCAACTCCCTGTTCAAAGCAGGACCATCTCCAACTAGATCATCCCAGTCACAGCTTTGTCTAGCTGGGCCTCCAAGGATGGAGATTCTACAATCTCTCTAGGTAGCCTGTTCCAGTGCTTCATTATCTTGTGAAAAAAGTTTTTCCTAATATCTAACCTAAACTTCCCTAGCTGCAACTTGAGACCATGGCTCCTAGTTCTGGCATCTGCTACCACTGAAAACAGTCTAGCTCCATCCCAAATTAGCTCCATCTTCTTTGGAACGACTCTTCAGTTACTTGAAGGCTGCCAGCAAATTTGCCCAGTCTTCTCCTATGCAGACTGAATAAGCCCAGTTCTGTCAGCTTCTCCTCAGAAGTCATATGCCCCACGCCCCCACCTAACCATTTTTGTTCATTTTCTTCAATGGACTCTCTCCAGTGTGTCCATATCCTTTCTATAGTGGGGTGCCCGAAACTGGACACAGTACTCCATATGTGGCCTCATTAGTACCAAATAGATGGGAAGAATCACTTTCCCTCAGTCTGCTGGCAATGCTCTTACTAATGCAGTCCAGTATGCCGTTAGCCTTCTTCACAAGAAGGGCACACTACTGGCTCATATTCAGCTTACTGTCCACTGCAAACCCCAGGCCCTTTCCTGCAGAGCTGCTACACAGCCAGTCAGCCCCCAGCCTGTGCCATCCTAAATGCAGGACTTTGCACTGGTCCTTATTGAACCTCATGAGATTTCTTTTGTCCCAAACCTCCAGTTTGTCTAGGTCTCTCTGAATCTAGCCACCATATTCCCTGAAGTTTGGTGTCATCTGCAAACTTACTGAGGGTGCACTCCATCTCATCTTCCAGGTTCAATATTTTTAATCAACAACAAAACCAGCCCCAAGACAGACCCCTGGGGCATTCCACTTGATACCAGCTGCCAACTAGATAGTATTGCCCTTTGAGCCCAATGATCCAGCCAGTTTTCTATCCATTTTAGAGTCCCTTAATCCAACCCGTGCTGCTTTAGCTTTCTTGCAAGCATGTTGCGAGAGACTGTATCAAAAGCCTTGTTAAAGTCAAGATAAGCAAGACTCTTGGGTCAGAGGCAATATCTTTTATTAGACCAACTAAATAGTAGCAAAAAACCTTTTCTTTTTTTGCTAGCTTTTGGGTACACACACCCTTCTTCAGACTGAGGAGAATTTAAAGATTGTAAGAGTTCTCCTAGGTAGAAAAGAAACTTCATTTTGTACAGGGGAGGTAAAGGGTGGAAGTTTATTCCCCTGGGTACCTCAGAGTCCTTTTGTGAGAGGGTTGCTCTGTGATGTGCAGATTAGGTAGGCTTTGTCCATGGAGGTGTCCAATGTTAGACAGAGGTGGAAATGTCTTTTCTTTAGTTAGCAATGACGTTTCCATTTTCTAACATTTACAACAATTGTTAAAATAAAAAATATAACACATGCACTGAATCTACCAGGCAGTCATCTTGTCATAGAACGCAATCAGGTTGCTCAGGAATGACTTGCCCATGGTGAATCCATGCTGACTTTTCCCTAATCAAAAACATTTCCTCCAAGTGCTTAGAAATGGATTTCTTGATTTTTCCAGGAACTGAGGCGAGGCCGATTGGTCTGTAGTTCCCTGGATCCTCCTTTTTCTCCCCTTCCTTAAATATGGGCAGTTCATTATATTTGCCCCTTTTCCAATTGTCTGGGACCTCCCTTGATCACCACGAGTTTTCAAAGATAATGGCCAGCAACTCTGCAATCACATCAGCCAATGCCCTCAGCACCTTTGGCTGCATCACATCCAGCCCCATGGACTTATACATGTTCAACTTTTCTACATAATCCCTTACCTGTATTTTTGCCGTTGTTGGCTGCTCACCTACTCCCCAAACTGTGATGCCAGGTGCAGTTATCTGAGAGACAACTTTGCCTGTGAACACAGATTTAAAAAAAAAGAAAAAAAAAAAGAAGCCTTTTCTGCATCATTGCCTCCCCCTTTCGGTCAGGGACCCACACTTTCTCTGATCTTCCTCTTGTGGCTGACACACTTGTAGAAACCCTTCTTGTTACCCTTCATATTCCTTGCTACCAGCAACTCCAATTCAAGCTGCCAAGTCAAGCTGTTCTTCTGACATAATTGCTAGTCTTTCTGAGCCTTGGGATGATACGTTCCTGCACCCTTTAAAGTAACCTGCAGGGAGGGAGTATGATTTTACCCATAGCTATTATTATTGTTTTTCCTGTCATGGTTTTATGCACTGATGTCTCTGAGTTGGCAGTCTTTACCCCAATATCAGCGATATTCATAGAGGTCAAGGTGTTGTCAGAGTTTGGAAGTTATCTTCCATAATAATAGTTTTTGAACACTGAGGTGGCCCTTCATGGTCTTGGGCAGAGTCCCTAAGGTATCTATGATCTTGTCTCTTTTATTATTATTATTGCACAAACTATTTGTTATAGGAAGAGACAGTTACTGCCTGAAGGAGTTTACAGGTTAATACTCCACTTCTGCAAAAATTTACATTTGAATTGCTGTAATGATGGTGCTCAGATGCCGAATCGAGCAATAATGCAGGCAGAAGCAACTGCAAAGGGACCAATGCTCAGTTGCACGGCAGGACTGAAACGAGGATGTAGCACTCAGCCAACCTGCTTCCAGCGGAGTAAGGGGCGCACTGACAGGGCACAATGCCTTGGCACGATGCAGAGCAGTGTGGGACAGCCGCTGGTCCACAGCCAAGCTGGGTCAGCATAGAGGGCACATGAATCTCAGCCCCTTTAACTCCTTCTGAAGCTTACTTAAACTGTTTCCCAAGCAGGCCAGCAAGGTGGCACTGTGGTAAAAATATGTTATAATCTAGTCATTATGATTTTGCAATAACGTTTGTGTAACAGCTGTGTGATAAAAATGTCTCATCTCCCTACACAAAGGCTTCACAGCTGAGAACTGTTTAGTTTCACTACATAATTGCTTCTGCATATTATCACACTTGCTTCTGCTAAGGTATGTAGGCCAATGATAGATTTACGAGTAGCACTAGACTTCTGCAGACATAGCCAGGAACAGATGCAACAAATAACTCCTTACGAGAGATAAGAGAAGAGGCACAGGGAAAGGTGCTGATGTGAAGAACTCAGACCTTGACCGAAGAATGACCGAAATGGACTTAAGGACGGCCCCAGGGAGGAGATTTAAGATGTAAATGAGACATGTATGTAAACCGTCATAGAACATGTACCTGCTAGACATATGTTGTAAGACGTAATACTTGGGCTGCCAATAATTACGCGACACGTTAGAATCTTTTGTTTATGTTAGCTATAAAAAGGAACCCCAGACTCTGTTTGGGGTCGACACGGATTTGAGTAAATTAAGCTCCCTTGTTGAACTTGTTTGCAAACAATAAATCTGAAATTGGACCCAGCCTGTGTGTGAGACTCTCTCCTAGAGGTGGATTGGACAAGCCTCCAGGGGCACAGAACTAGCCGTTTGTGCAACAGCACCAACAGGCAGATTGATTTGCAACGGAAATTGCATTATGCAAATGCAGGCCCATCTCCTTGGAGGAAAATTGCTTGAAATTTATCTCCAGCGTAGATAAGCCTGAAGGGAGTGGGCGTAGGTGCTCACTTGTATTTTTGCTGGGGGGGAGGCTAAGATGATGGACACATGGGAAGTTTTACGTATTTCAAGTGACAGCCCTGTTACCCGAGGGGTCTAAAGCGCCCAGGCTTCCCCGCCCTCAGCACCACCGGGCACGGAGGGCGAGGGTCTCAGGTGCAGGAAGGCCGGCGGAGCCCTGAGGCAGGGGAGATACAGGCCGCCGCACTGACGTCACCCCGAACAGCCTCACGCGGACGCCGAAAGAGTTTCCCGCGCTATCGCGAGCAGCTGAGTAAACCGACTTCCGCGAGGGGCACACTGCGCATGTGCGCAGCAGGAGAGTAGCGGCGGGGAAAAGTTCCACACACGCGCCAGTTGCCCGGTAACCACTGGCAACAGAACAAAAGCCGGCAGCCTCGTTCCGGTGGCGGCGCATGCGAACCTGCCCCTCCCCGCCGCCAGTGCTCTTGGCAGCCCACAGCTCCACCCCGACCCATGCGCCGCCGCCCACTGCCCTGGAGCCCGCGAGCGGAACCGGAACCGGAAGGGCGAGTGGTTGCCTGGTACCGGTTGTCATGGCGACAGGGCGTCGCGCCGGGGGCGACGGCCTGCACCGTAGGGAAACCCAGGACGGGGGCGGTGTGCCGTGGTGGACCCTGACGGAAGGGGTTAGTGGCACAGCGCCCCAGGAGAAGGGCAAGGTGCTGCGGTTGTCCCCCGACAAGGGGATAGCAGCGCGGTGAGCCTGTACCAGAGAGGGTATTAGTGCGGTGAGCCTAGAGGACTGGTGGACCGAAAGGACATCCCCGAGGGGACTGCCCTATTGTAGAGAGGGAGGTGGGGAAGGGGCAGGCAGAACAAGGTGGGGCGGTGGGGCCTGGCCTTTGGAGGGCGAGGCAAAGTGAGCAGGTGAGCCCAAAGCAGGGGGTGGGGGCCACAGTGAGGAAGCAGGGCCTGGCACAGAGGGAATGGGCAAGGTGAGGAGGGAGGGTCGTGTGGGGAGGCCGGGGTCCTGGAGACAGCTTTGATGAATGCAGGCGGGGATGGGGAAGGAGGGCAGTCTGTGCAAGAGCAGGGTGGGTGGGGGACAGGTGACCTTCCCCAGCTTGCCAGCCACCTGCAAATTCACCCAAGGAACCTTGTCTGCCTATTTGGAGCCACTCATTTTTATGCGTATGTTTGCGAACGGCAGAGGTGACTCGGGATCGAGGTTGCTGTATACGTTGTGTCCCAAATGGGGCGCTTCCCTTGCACGGCCCAAGCTGTGTCCTTCTCTTCTTGTGCAACAAAGTTCTTCCTAAAAAGAAAGCTGAACCCCGTCCAGGAGCTCATTAATGGGACGATGCACTGTAAACCGGGAGCTGCAGAGATTCTGGTGCAAGACATCTACTCCATGCTGACAAACAGGCGGTGAGAGCTGCTGTCCATAAACAGTCCCACTCTGCTCTGTTAGCTAGAAGTTTACAGCGTTGTCAGGCAGTAGCACTCAAATGTCACCCAACCCTTTCCAAACCATTATGTTACACACCCGGTGGAGTAAAGTAACCAGTCCTAGAGTCCTTGAGAAGTATGGTTGGAAAGGACCTGCAAAGGTCATTTAGCCCTGCCCCCTGCCTGAGGCTAGATCATCCAAACCATCCTATACAAATCCATTGTCTAACACACTGGTTTTCAACCTACGGTTTATGGACCCCTGGGAGGGCTGTAGACTATATCAAAGGGTTCTACAAAAGATGAGACTGATCAGTCAAAAGTATGTGAATACCTACACTTACTTTTCAAAGCAAGTGCATCTTCATTTGACATTTTTTAGAGGTCTGCAAATGAAAAAAGGTTGAAACGCCTTGATCTAATGTATAAGCAAAACTACACAGTCAACCCTGACACAAAACCCTAATCTGCCAGGAGAAGGCAGGGAGACCATGGTACAGTGTTCCCTCTAGGCTGCGTGGCGTGTGCGGCTGCACAGGCACGCTCATGCCACGCTGCCAGGCATGCCTGCAGAGCCGCACATACTGCACAGCTTAATGGGAATGCTGTTGTGGCAGCCAACAACTTGCTGCTGCAACAATTGTTAAAAGAGGCTTGAGAGATCTCAGGAAGAGGGCCATGACCCCCCACAGTTCATACCAATCTGACCATGGGCTAAATTCCTTCCTGACCCCAAATATAAAGATCAGTCTGACCCTGAGCAGAGGGGCAAGGCCCTCTGGCTGAGAACCTCTGGATTCAAAACCAAAGGAGCATTGGTACAGAACAGGAATAATCCTCAGCATTGGTTGCAGCCAACACCCACTGGTTTTGAGGAAGGCTTAAAAATAAATAAATAAACCCCTGACACATGTAGTTGCAGGAGAGGAAAAAAATCCTGTCCCAGCCCCATGTGACAACCAGCAAAGCACAGAAGCATGGGAAATATCATAGTAGAGTATAGGTATAGCTACTCCTAAATTATCCTAGAGTCTAGACCAGGGAGCAGGAAAGGGTACGTGAAAAGGGGCTGGGGGGGGAGGGGGAGGAGGGCAGGTGGGGACGGAGCACCGCCACCCTGCACCACTGCCTATCAGGACCAGGGCTGGGGGGGCGAGGTCCGTGGCTCCCCCCCTCTGCAGGCTGCCCAGGGGCCCGCGGGTGGGGGGGGGGGGGGGGAGCTCGCATGCAGCAGCTACTGCTATACACCACCCCGCACCACCACTGCATGCAAGCCCCACCTGCTCTACATCGGCCACTGCCACCCCGTCCCCCCTGCTCTGTGTCCAGCCACGGCCACCCTCTTCCCCCCAGCTCTGTCAGAAGGGATACACTCCTTAAAAAGGTTGAAAACCTCTAGTACCAGGGTCAGTCCATCCTTTCCTTGAATACTTCCAGTGATGGAGATTCTAGATGTGGCCTAACTGGTGCAGCGTAGATAGTAGAGAGGCACTATCACCTTCTGTGTCTTGCACATAATGCTTTATTGGTGCATCCCAAAACTATATTTGCGTTTTGTGCAGCTGCATCACACTGCATTCATGTTGATCTGTGATCTACCAAGACCCCCAGATCATTCCAGTTCCTTCGGCTTGCTCTCTACGTTTCCCATGCCACCTGCAACTTGTGTATATTGTCCAGTTGTGAATTGCTGTGGAGATCTGAAATACAGGGTGCCCGTAAGAAATTATTTTTTAAGAGCAGCCCACACTTATCACACAAAGATTATGGAGTTAATTGAACACAGGATTAGGTGCCGGAATCTTTTGGATTCAGGATCAGACAGACAGACTTGGTGTCTCTTTGGCCAGGTCACTTTACATCTCTGCACTTTGAGGGCCCAGGGTAAAAAAAAAAGAAAAATAGAAACTGCATCACTTGCACTGTAGAACTATGGGTATTCATTAGCGAGTATTGGACAGATCCCTTAAAAGTGGAAGTCATGATAGGGCTTTCTGTATTTATTGTTAACGTAATTAACTCGTGAGTCTTTTTCCTTTTTGCAGAATTAAAAATATTCAGGATGAGGAAGTTGACTTTACAGACAGTTACTATCAGGATCAGTTACCAATGGTTGCCAGATCAACAGCATCAAAGGCTATCAAAAATAACATTAAGCTAACAGAAGAAATGATAGAGCCAAGCATTAAAAAAAATAGACAGAAGGTTAATGCTGTCATCAACATGCATATGCAACAGAGACTGCTAGAAAGGGAAGAGAACCCAAGTGAGTGACTTTGCAACATCAAGTATAAAGAACAGACCTGTTTTCCCATGTTCACTTATCTAATTTGTCAGATATAAGAGTTTTCCATTTACAGTGCTCAAACATTTATTTGCCTGTCCTTGGGTTTAAGTCAACCAGTCATGGCTGAGGCCAGCATATCTCAGTGATGCCAATAGAACTGAATGTTGTAAACAGCATGAATCTTGTAGCCAGAAACTGTAAAGAAAGTTTTGTGATGACATTATCTAAGGAAACGTGCAGGCACTTCCACTTGAAGTGAATACTGATGGTGGATGGTACAGCAATGTAGAATACAGCTGAATATCAGATATAAGTTTCTACCCTTGCATCATCACTTTAGGTGTTTTTTTTTCTAGGTAAGTCTGATCTGCAGCAACATTATCTCTGCACCAGAGACTGCAGATGGCTCTGGCAAAGTATTCCAGCTGATTTCCCAATAGAAAACACTCAAACAAGTATTAGATTCTTCGAGGTTCTTACTTATCAGATTGACTTAAATTAATTTGTCGAATGGTGGTGGCGAATTGGCTAGAGGGTCGCACCCAGAGAGTCGTGGTGGATGGGTTGGTTTCGACCTGGAAGGGTGTGGGCAGTGGGGTCCCGCAGGGCTCAGTCCTTGGACCGATACTTTTTAATGTCTTCATCAGCGACTTGGACGAGGGAGTGAAATGTACTCTGTCCAAGTTTGCAGATGACACAAAGCTATGGGGAGAAGTGGACACGCCGGAGGGCAGGGAACAGCTGCAAGCAGACCTGGATAGGTTGGACAAGTGGGCAGAAAACAACAGAATGCAGTTCAACAAGGAGAAATGCAAAGTGCTGCACCTAGGGAAGAAAAATGTCCAGCACACCTACTGCCTAGGAAATGACCTGCTGGGTGGCACGGAAGTGGAAAGGGATCTTGGAGTCCTAGTGGACTCCAAGATGAACATGAGTCAGCAGTGTGACGAAGCCATCAGAAAAGCCAATGGCACTTTATCGTGCATCAGCAGATGCATGACGAATAGATCCAAGGAGGTGATACTTCCCCTCTATCGGGCGCTGGTCAGACCGCAGTTGGAGTACTGCGTGCAATTCTGGGCACCGCACTTCAAGAGGGTTGCGGATAACCTGGAGGGAGTCCAGAGAAGGGCCACTCGTATGGTTAAGGGCTTGCAGACCAAGCCCTACGAGGAGAGACTAGAGAACCTGGACCTTTTCAGCCTCCGCAAGATAAGGTTGAGAGGCGACCTTGTGGCTGCCTATAAGTTCATCACGGGGGCACAGAAGGGAATTGGTGAGTATTTATTCACCAAGGCGCCCCCGGGGGTTACAAGAAATAATGGCCACAAGCTAGCAGAGAGCAGATTTAGATTGGACATTAGGAAGAACTTCTTCACAGTTAGAGTGGCCAGGGTCTGGAACGGGCTCCCAAGGGAGGTGGTGCTCTCCCCTACCCTGGGGTTCTTCAAGAGGAGGCTAGATAAGCATCTAGCTGGGGTCATCTGAACCCAGTACTCTTTCCTGCCTATGCAGGGGGTCGGACTCGATGATCATTGAGGTCACTTCCGACCCTAACATCTATGAATCTATAATTGGACTGCATGTCACAGGAATGTGGTCAACTGTAAGAAATTACTGTGACCTTAAGAACTTTTGTAATGTGGTGTCTTGTTCCTTTGTTTTGGAGAATAAAAGACTGCATGTTTTGCTGGGGCACTTCTTTCCTTTTGCCACATTGTAAGTGTTGATTTTATTGATTTTTTATCAGTGGTAATAGGAATGCCTTGCATTTAGAAGTTTGTCTGACTTTATCCCAACGGTGTAGTTTGGCCAGTAAAAGATATCACCCCAAGAAATCCTTGCCTTTTTTAAATAAAGAAATTACGAGCTGACCTGGTAAAACATGAATACCAGGACATCTCTCTACTATACCAAGCAGATTGTGATTTCTTGTTTTATAGAGCGGTTTAACATTAAACCAAGCTTGGGAGAACGTGCTGTTCGTCATCCTTCTCGTCATGCTTCTACCGAGATTCTCATTAATAGCCAAAGGGAAAAACTTTCTTCTATGTCCTGTAAGTAGTCATTCCAAGCATTCCTTCAGATGGTTAGGGATTTACACTATTCAGGTGGTAAACCTGGATCATACAGGTGTATTTTTACTAAAATCTGTAGCTTTAAAACTAAACCATTTCAGTTAGAAAAAATGTTTTTTCACATAACTTTCCTTTGAGAGCCAGTCTACCTCTGTGGTTTGGCAACCACGGTATTTGCTTATATTCAGGATTCAAAATGGCTTTTCTTTCATGCGACAGTGTCTTGGTTTAGAATTTTGACTTTACTTACTACCACAGATAGTATCAGTTCTTCACTGTAGAATCTGTATCTGTTATAATGAAGGAGAGCAGCTACAAATTTCAAGTATTAGTCCATCTCAAAGTGTCACCTGATCCAAACAGTTGTACTCTTTCATTTCTTTTTGTTGTAGCACATAACCCTTTATACAAATAGGTTAAATTAATCTAAGTCTTGTATGAGATTCAGTTATCAGCATAAAGTAGGAGTGCACCAATAAAGATATTTTAGGCCGTACTGATGGCCAGTTATTAACGAGCCATATCGGCTGATACTGATCTGATTGCCAATATGCAGCCCAGCTGCTTGGAGAGCACTGTCCAGATGGTAAGTCTTTTACGGGGGATGGGGTATGTGTGTGGGGGTGGGCCCCTGTGGTGAGGGGGGGAGGGAGGGGGGCCGGGGCAGGGGCTACCCAGATGGGGCGGGGTGGAGTGTTGGATAGAACCGTGAGCAACTCGTCTGGGGGGGTGGATCCTGCCACTAAGCACATCCCCAGGGGAACCATGTGGGGTGTCCCCCCCCCCCGGTTCTGTGTGCAGGGCAGTCTCCGCTGTGGGCTGGGGCCAGGGGCAGTGCTGGGCTCTTCCCAGCAGGGGTGGTTGGGCTGGGGCTGTGCTCAGGGAGGGCAGCAGTGGCGCTGGGGTGTGGTGGGTATGAGAGGGGCTACAGCCATCCCAAAACTTACTGTAGCTCTCCCTCCTTAGCCCCAGCTTGCAGTTCCACCACCGCCTGCCCAGAGTGCAGCCCTGGCCCAGGCCCCCTGTGCTGGGAAGAGCCCAGTGCTGCCCCTGGCCCCAGCATCAGTCCATGCCTCGCCCTGCACACATCCTGGGGTCGCACTGCCCCCTTGCCTCTCCCCGGGGTGTGTGCAACAGTGGGATCTGTCCCTCCCCTCTCTGTGCCCCCCAGACAAACCAGCTGGGCAGTGCCTGCCCCAGCCCATTCCCTCATAGCAGGGGCCTTGATCTTCCCTGCCCCATGTCCTCTCTCTCTCCCTGTCCCTTCCCCCCAACAGACTTACCTGATCACCACTGCTCTGCAAGCTGCCAGGCTGGCCATGTGCATGCATGCCCATTTATTGGTGACATTAATTGGCCACAGCCAAAAAAAGCCAATTGCTGATGTCAATTTTCCTTTTACCAGTGCCAATACACTATAGACCAATGTATTGGTGCACCTCTAGTATAAAACTGTTGATTCATTTTCCTAGGAAAAGATAAGCTACAGCAGTATAAGCAGCTTTACACTAGGACAATGACACTGCTCATGGCAGAGCTAAAATTATATTCAAATTAGAAAATATTCCTGTAATATACTTATTAAAACGACATTGCCCAGTCTAGGTTTTTTTTAATGGTTAAATAGTGATTTTTGAATAAGTGTTCATTTATCACTTGCTAATTATTTTGCTTAGATCTGGGTCTACCAGAAATCAGAAGCAAAACTTCTGTTCATTTCAAAGAAATCCAAGTGAAACAAGCCAACAGATCCTCTTTGTCTGTGGAGTAAGTATGGCGTTCCAGGCATCTCAAGAAAAGAACTAACTGAACACTGGAAAGTAATCTTGGAGAGGTCTGACCTATGAAATTTGCAAACACTGATTATAAATCCCTTATAAAACCATGGGGGGGTGGCGCGGACTCACTGATTGGGTTTAGTGTCTGGTAAGCAGAGCATTGTTTTCTTCTAGTAAATGCCATTTAAAACTTGGTATGTATTAAAAAGTGCAACAAGCTTAAATGTCTCTAAAGCAGTATCTAAAACCTATCATCAGAGTTTTCCTGGTTTTAGAAGGGTGTCTTCACTGACTTGATATTATACTTGCTTTTACAACCTAGGTCCCTCTTAGGCTCGATTAGAGTGAACGGCCTTACTATTTCAGATCCTTTATTATTGAAATTCTCCTTTTAAAGGTTTCAGTGATGATGATGTATGACCTTTTTGTACCTTGTGGAATGTGCTGAGGTTAATAAATCTGGCGGTTGTCCATGGTGTCTTTGTACCTTGGTGCATTATAAAAACATGCATTGTCTTTTTACTAATCACTCCTTTGTTTGGAATAAGTGTTTTATGGTTAATTTTATCTAAATCAAAGCTAACTCTGGCTTTCATTGCTTTAATAAATATACAACTCTGAAGGAAGTGTTGTACATTAAGAAGTTTTTGTTTTTGGAGAAATAAATATTGCTCTGATTGGTTTAAAAGATATTGCATCCATTGTTAAGTCGGTGACATATTTCATTAGTGATCATCATCTTATAAATGTCTCAAAAATGAACAGGTCTGGAGTCTTATTTTAGAGACAGATGTTAGTTTTAAAAAGATAGTTTTAAACACAAGGACAACTAATAGGAACAAAAGTCTGGTTTTACAGTTTAACATCTGGCATTTCTTTCCACTCAGTGAAGCACAGAACGACTGCAACAATTTTGAAAAATTCATTTTCACTTTGACAAAAAGGATTTTAAGAGGTAATTTACTAGTTTAAAACTTACCCCAAAGTCACTAAAATTAGAATATCCTTTTGATACCTGCTAGAAGACAAAAATATATGTGAAATAACATTTCTTCTTATGGAAAGCTATAAAGGTAACAACACTAGAGAAAAACACAAATTGCTTGACGGTGAAGAAATCAGAAAGGTTTTTAATTTCAAGGGGAAATACCTCTTTTTGATCAGATCTGCTTCACAGTGAAGACACATTTTAGCAAACAACCTGAAATTGTTTTAAAAACATTGATACAGCTATGTTTGAACAGTTGTGACTAGAGTTGTTACAATAAATGTACCTCTTACAACAACCATTTTCATGGTTTTTTTCTCCACATATGGTAAAGACTACCATAAAGTAAATGCACCATCATTTTTGTTGACAATGACTGTTACCTGACATTTTCCTCATATAAAAAGTGCCCTTTGACTCAATTTTTATACTCTAAACCTAATAATGAAAAAATAATTTACCCTCCTCAATGTGTAATTTAAAGAGGGTAGATTTATTTCAGGTTCCATATTAAGGCACAACTTCCACACATTTATGCAGTTACACTACATGTTTGCAATATGTTTATATCTTGAAATTTCAGTATCAGTCTCTAGGACACTACAAGAGATTTAAAGAAGAGCAGGATGACAGCTGAGTCAGTCTTTTAGATCCAAACTCAGGCAAATAAATATTGAGCTTAATAATAATTTCCTGTCACTCCTCCCTGCACTCTCGTAAGTACCTATATTTCTTTTCCACATATACAAAGGCTACACAAATCCCATAAAACAAGAGCATTATTTATCGTTCATTAGACAAGAATAACCCATCAGACATTTGAAGCTGAAGAAGCTAGAATTCTTCCACAAACTAGTATTATGGATCCTTTTTTTTTCCTGAATTGCAACATTCTGCAAATTACACACAGAATTAAATATATAAAAGAGAAACAATGGCTAAATAATGGATGCAATAAAGTAAAGCATTTAATTCCAATACACAGATAAGTGTGTGTGAAAGATGTATGGTGTACATAGCTGACATACAAAACAGAACTCATATTTTGTCTTTGAGACAGCAAAAATTCCTGTAAAAATTAAGTTTTCTAATTCCTTGGTAGAATAAACTATGAATACACGTTTAACAATTTTGAAAATTATTTTACCAACATAACGAATGAGACATGGACTATAATGTACGTATTGGGAGCCAGGATTTCCTGAGTTACCAGTTTGTTTGTTTGGTTTTTATTTACTTTCTCTCTGGCCTTGGGCAGATCACTCAGCCACTCTGCCTCAAAAGAGACTATTACTTCATTAAGGCAGTGGTTGGCAACCTTTTTAGGATGCAAGCCAAATGACTGTTTGAGTCAGAGATGAATGGGCACTAGGATCTCGCTTGTGCCACTTCTCCCTGTGGCAGCACAGGCTGGATCAAATAGCTCTGCAGGTTGGATGCAGCTCACAAGTCACAGGTTGCCACTCCCTGCACTAAGGTATTGTGAGAATTGATTATATTCTATTAAGTTTTGCAAGGCTGCAAGTAGATAAAGGGTACTTAAAACTGCCATCTTTGTGAGTTTTAAATATTGTGTTATTTTTTATTTTAGAATGATTCTTTAAATATTGTTCAGCCATTTACTGATCTTTCATTATACAATAGCTAGCACTATTTTAACAAGAGGAGATCATTAGAACAGGTAAGGTATGTTCTTTTCACCGTGCTATCAACATACTGACTAGGCACTAGACCCAAAGGATCTCTAATGCTACTTTATGGAAAAGTACTTCTGGCTAAGAATATAGGACTTTTTTTTCCTCATGGCAGTGTTTGATGTTACACACAACTTTTTACAATTTCACTACTACTCAGATTCTATTGCCATCATATTTAGTTTAATTTGGGCACAGATCATAAGTCTTGACTAACCAACTGTAACTAAATAAAGCGATGCCTGAGTATCAGGTCCTTCGTACCATATGGTTTTTGCAGCCTATACAAAATCCAAAAGAACAAAATGTTATTAATATACATAATGGATTTCAGTAATTCTTCATTAAATATGCTGGTTCAGTACTTACAACCTTGATTTTAAAAGGTTCATAAATGCATTTTTATCTCATTCAAATATAATAGGGGAAGTTGTCAAAGATGATCTTACTAGAAAATATATTGATTTACCCTAATCAAGGTATTCATCAAAACATAACTAAAACAAACAGTGCTGCTATATTTGACTTCTCTTTATTACTGGTAAAGCTAAATATTTAATCCATGGAAATATGTCTTAATTAAAAATGTGAGTTTTTTGGCTTTGAACTCATTTAATTTACACACTTTCACTTGAGAATCACATTTTACTGTAAAAGATAAAAGGGGAAACAGGATGAATGAAAGTTAGACATAGATTTGTGGTCATTCTAAAAATAGATGCATTACAGTGACTATCCATAAAAGCATAAATCATTTGTATAATGATGTATTTACAAACACATTTTATGAATTTCACAGTTTTGGCTACCTCGTATGTTGATAATGTAGACAGTTGTTTACTTGCTTTACAAGTTATTTGTTCGCATACGACTTACTGAACGATGTTTGTGTTGTCTGACAACAGTACACATCTTTCTAAAAAAAAAAACCCCATGGCTATCAATTACGTAAATTAGGACTTTTTTTTCTTTGGATTATCAAATAACTTTTCTTCTTTGGATTATCAAATAATTTTATATATAGATATAGATAGATAGATATATATAGAGAGAGAGAGAGAGAGAGAGATTTAAAAAAAAAAAACCTTTTCATTTTCTTTTTTACAATTTGTAAAATTCAAGTAACTGTCCTTCAGGAGGAAGGAACTGCCATCTTTCTGTCCTTGATGATCAAGATTAAAATTAATATTAATCTTCAGGATGTTGCTCATTTCAATCACTAGAGATTACAATGAAAACAGTCTTAGAATGGGTTGAGCCGTATTCCTGTTCCTAATGGTGAGAAGGCATTCACTTTGGCCCACATCAAAGCATCATTCAGAGAAATAACCGATTTTCCATCTTCAAGGAAAAACACAGGCCCCTGTAAAATATGAATGTTTGAGAAAGGGAAGAAAGAGAAGATACACGTCCTGTATCATATTTGCAGAGAAACTACAATCTAGTAAAAACAAATGTATATTTTGACTTGATGCAACCTCGGTTTATACAGTAGCTTCACCCAACTTAAAAAGTTACACCTGATAATAACTCTGATTAAAACTTCCATACCAATTTAGAGAACTATACTTATCAGGCAAACAGACCTGTTTTACATTCCCTAAGGTTTGAGTTAGGTGCATTTTACAATTATACTGGTGTATTCCCAAACTATAGTTATTTATACCTGCGTCTTACAATAGGCACCGTAGGCAGCCTTGTTTTTCTGTGGGCCTGGCCTCTTAATGATAGGGGAAACCACATGGATTTAGCTTCCTATAAGTATAAATAAATGAGCCTAACAAAATTGAGTCCCTTTCCCTATCTACAAAAATGGCAGCAACAACATACCTCACAGTGGCATGGTGAAGATAAATGTTTAAACATGCTGGTCACAAAGCTACACAAGTAATAAATACTGAAAAATGATACTTGTGTCTGAATGTTTAGCCTTTGTATCTTCTCCTTACTTATCGCTGATGTGTGCTTCAATTCAGGGATGTCATACCCCTGAATTAGCCCCCACAGGCCAGATCCAGACCATGGAGCCTCTTGTGGGCTAAACTGAAACTGCATGGTGCCTCACAAGCCAAATCCAGACCCACCTCTGGTGGCAGAGTGAGCAGCACTGTAGACAGGGCCATCCCTAGTGGGGGAGCAAATCAGGGCAAGCGCCCCGAGCCTCGCACTTTGGGGGGCCCCGCGGAGCTGGGCAGAGTGGTGACTCCGTGCTGCCGGTGGCTTCACGTCCGGCCGCTTGGCACTCCCCGCCGCCAAATCTGCTGCTGGCTTCCTTGCGCCCGGGGGTGAGGCCCTGCACAGGCTGATTTGTCCTGGGCCTTGTACCCTGCTTAGATTGTCTCTGACTATAGACTCAGGGCGCCATGGAAATTTGCAGAGCTGTTGCCTGCCTATGCTACCTAAACATGTCTTCAACATACCTTGAACTTTTGGCGGTGGGCTCTGTGCCTGCTTGCCCCACCCCCATGTTGTCAGCTCCTCCAGGAACCCCATAGCCTAGATGACATGGCGCACAAGCCAGGTGAGGCCCACAGGCAGTATCTTTGACAACCTATTTAATTTAATGGCTCAGAGATACTACAATGCTTGGCATTCTAGAAATGCGTAGTATAAGAAGAAATATTTCAACACATTAATGGAACTTTGATATAGCCCTTCCACTGTTTTCAATTCAAACCAAAGTGAAGAGGTAGCCACTGGCTCACATATACTTTAATAGGAGCAATTGTGTTTCAATTTTTGACTGTTGCAAACAATTTTTTACTGTTCCAAGTGGTGATTTCGTCCTCATTAAAACTATATAACCATATAAACTCCATCTAAGCATAGTTAACAGAAAATGGCAGCTTTTGTCAAAGGGATTACTCTACAATCTCCCTTTTTCTTCTTTAGAGATTCTATTCTTTGAGAACTCTGGAAGCCTCAACCATTACAAGTTTCCATTTGTATTTTTTCACTTAAAAACAAGTCGCATGACCACGTAAGGGTTACTTGTTAAAACAGTAATCCAAAGGAATATGGCTCTGAAAAAATACCTGTATCCTTAATCCTGTTAAACAAGAGATGTGAACATCTGAGTGACTAGGAAGATTAGATCCAGTAACATAGTCCGGTCCAATCAGTCCTTTCAGAGGCTCCTCTTGCATTCGTGATACAAGTGTTGAATAAATCATTCTCTGGGAATCTGATGGAGGGGTATATGGTGATTCATCGGTAGATCTGTAAGCAAAACACATATTTTAAACTTGTTCATTTGCAATTCAACTCAGGATCCACAGATTTCGAAATACTTTCTGTCTTTACATAAGAACAGCCTTTCAAATGCTAGAAAGAAAAAAAAAATCAAAGTTTTATTGAAATGTGCATATTTAAATGGAAGCAATCTCCACTCTGACAATTTTGCATTTTACACTTACTTGACTAACTGTGTACAAGCTCTCCATGCATCTAGTTCATCAGAAAGCCATTCAATTTTCAGGGGTACAGATACCTCCCGTCGTTTTAGAAGCTGACTGAAAAGGAACAAAATTAAAATTTTGTACCTACAAAATGTTATTATGGGTAATGTTCAAAATCAGTTCTAACATTGTAAATTTACATAAAGAGAAAAGATATTAGAAGTTAACAATATCAATCTTTTAAAATATATTTTGAATTGATACTTCTAATTTGTGTTTTTTACTATGCCCTTACTGTTTAACTTTGGAATTATTAAGATTTCTAGGTATAAGAATACTTTTTCTTTATTTTAATTTAAATTATTCAGATTTAATCCCTACGATATTCTTCAAGGCCTTTCTATATTTTGGCTGTGCTAGTTAGCCATGAAGCTTGGACAGACTTTGAACCAGTTTTTGATATAATGACATTTGACGTTAATTGGTGTTCTGAAGCACTTTGTTGGACCAGTCCTAAAAAGCTGAATGAGTCATGATTCCTACATGGAACTCGGAGGATGTGATGGGTCAGTTAAAAAAAAAGATATCTTTAGAACAATCCTATTGTCTCAAATCCTACAGGAATTCTCTAGGTCCCAGGAAGTTTTAAAGCTCACCACAAATTTAGGCCAGAAAAAACCTGTTCATTAAATGCTATCTATTACTAACTTACTGTTTCCATAGTGATAGCATATGTCCTATAAAGACACTTTTTCATACTGATTTGGGGAAAAAAAAAAACAATTTTAAGCAGAATGACACAGCAGATGTGACAACTTGTGATCATTCAAGAAGGACAGTTGGAATACTTATCTCTTTACAAAAACAACCTGTGTTTTTAGGAACAAGTAGTTTGACCCAGCTTAGCCCAGATTTTGCAAAAGGCTGCATTCAGGCTGACCCTTGTACCACTATACTGCACCAAAGAAGTCAGCAGAGCACAAGGTACTTCCCTGTTCCCATACTAGAATTGGGATCTTAGACTGATAAACTTCTGGGGACAGAGACTACATACAAGGTATAACTAACCTGATTGAGACGGTGGGGTGCTACTACTACAGATAGGGAAATATTACCTTGTATATTCATAAAGTGCAGGTACAATGCTATTGTACTGTCTCCTTATAGCAAGTAAAGCACCAATGTAACCACACAGTATCAGCAGCTCATTCCGAAATCTAAAAATAAAATAGTATATATCAAAGTTAAGAGTTTTAACCAAATACAGAAACTTCAAACAAACAGACCTTTTTTATTTTATTATTTATTTATTTATTTATTTTTTTTTTACATACTGTCTTAATACTTCACAGGAAATATAAATGGTTGGATTAGGTTTATGGCTGAGTAAACTATACTTCAACTGCCTTATACCGATTCCATTTATTTATTTTTATTTTTTATTATGGTCTGAAAATAAAAGACTACATGTGCAGCCTTCAAACCGTGTGACAATTATTTGTACTTACAGGTCAAATATAAATTTCAGCTATATTTGAAATTTCAAATATAAATTTCCTTTTAGCATGTTGAAACTCCAAATACAAATAATGCCGATCTGTCATACTAACCACTTCTTCAATCTCTCCCACCCTTCCCATAGACCAGGTGTCATAGGGTATAAACAGAAGTTGCCAAATGAAGTGGATCAACTGTGCTGAGATGTGTCTCAGCACAACTGATCTGTTTCACTAGGCAAAACAGATGTTGCATGTTATCCCGCAGGGCCCTCCTGGGAGTGGCTGGGGCTTGATCTTGCAGGACAATACTCTTGCTACCCCTCTGCAAACAGGAAAACAGTCTTGCACATCTCTATAAAGAGTGAAACCCCAGGTTTCCCCATTTGCAGAAACCCATGCCCAGGGACTCCACAGGCACTCTTCAAAATCTCCAGCTTGCGCTGGTGAAGTCCATGGGCTGGGACCACTAATCAACTGATTGGCAGTCTCAGCCCTGGGACCACAGTACAGTGTCAAACTCACTCTGATTTAGTCCTGGGGCTGGAACTACCAATCAGTTCTTTGGGAGCCCCAAGCCTGGGACTGCACTGGAGCCTGGGGAAATCCCAAATGGAGGAACATGTGCAGGCACAGCCAAGGCTACTGGAAGCTAATAAAGCTGACCTGGAAAGGCACACAGGCATTGCCGGGGCATGCAGGATCGGGGCCCCAGATGCCCCAGGAGCAGCTGCCTAAGGGCAGCTAGGAAGCGTGGGCAGCTCTGGGCAGATCATTTTTATGGTGGTAAAAAGGCAAAGTCTGTTTACAGCCACAATCTTTAGACCACTTTCAATTCCTCTGGGCAAACTGCTTTAAACCACAGTCAGTTCCTCTATACTGCACCCATGGGGTGACAGATGTTCCTGCACCTGTCTCAAGGGTAGAACTCAATAAGCCATCCATTATAGACCTAGATTTTATAGTGGTAGCCCCACTTCCCTGACACATTAATATTACAGATCTAGCTGTGTTTGGTGTCTGTAAGCCCTTTTTCCTCCGCATAAAGTGATTTGATTATATCTTCTTCAAAAAGCATTGTTATTTGTTCACCAAATGGTAAATAGCAGCCAAAGCATAAAACATTGTCCCCTCACTAAACCTGAATCATGACTTGGAAGTTCTGGTGAATTCTAGCCCACCTACCTACAACTTTCTAAGGAACAATGCCTACTTGCTGCTGTTAGTATGTGTTTTGCCTCTCTCCAGCAACCAGTGACAATTCACATTCTCCCTTCTCTGGTCTAGGGGGTCTCTTACTGGATTTTAATTGTAAAAGGTTTTTCAAAAATCCCTTTGATCCCAGATTCAGATCCATATGAAACCAAGCAGAGTACACTCGGGTCTCTCTTTATGCGAGGGATGTGTTCCAAAAAAACCTTGCATAAAGTGAATTTGCATAAAGCAAATCCATTATTACATGTAATTAATAGGGATATGCACCAGCCTCCTTTTTCACTTCATGGTTGGCTCAGAAAGGGAGTTAGGAGATGCACTAGAAGGTCAGTTAGATGACATTTCATTAAGTTCAATAATAAAGGCAAATAGATGCACCACAATACGAGTACAAGTAGCATAGCACTGAAGGGAACAAGGGACAATGCGAGACTGAGGCAAGTGCAAGATGGCGTTGCATACCTGCCTCACCCCCCACCCCCATGCTTAACTCACATCACTGCAGCATAAGATCTTTTCTCGCACAAAGCGAGTTTCTGGTATAGATAAGGTCATCACATATAAGCAAATTCGCACAGAACAAATTTGCATAAAGAGAAACCCAAGTGTATTCCCCACTTAATAGCACCCCACACTTCAATTCTTTCCTATAGAAGCTTCTCATTTCAGTCATTGTTTTTTCTTCTAACAGTTCACTTCTAACAGTTGCGTTTGATATTATCTGCCAAACTCCAAAGAGTTAAATATAAAACAAGCCAAAGTGCGCATGATACTTACAAAAACTAATGCAAATCTCACTTTCCACAAAAGGCAAAATAAATAGGTTGTGCAATGTACCCTAAAAGTCCTCAAACCTGGGTTATTTTAGAACAGCAGCAGGATGGGATCACAGCCCTGGGACCCTTACATAATAAACCCTCACCAGCTCCTCTCTGTTTTGAGGATGATTTAGTATCAAATTCTGGTCTTGACTTGGCAGAGGACTAAGGACTTAAGGGACAGTCCTTCAAATAGGCAGGGCACTGGCCACTACGAGTTTTATATTTAAAAGCTAGTAGCTATAAATCTGGATAGTCATAAGGAGCCATGAAGATCTCAAAGCTCTGGAATTGCACTCTACCTTCAAAAAATGGCAGTTACCTTTCTGCACCTAATTACAGCTTCACATTTGGTATAAAGTGTAGCCCTTCCTAGCATTTTGGGTATATAACTTTAAACTGACATAAGCATGAACAACTGTAGCAAGATTGCATCTGAAAGATAATACTGTGCAAATCTAGCCATACCTGGATAGAAATATGCCCTTTAAAGTACCACAGCTAGCTGATCTTTTAAGCGTCTAACCAGTAGCTCACAGTCTAACCAAACTATAAAGTTATGAATTCTGGTTAAGTACAGCAGTTTAATTCCATCCCATTGGGGGGTAAATAAGATTTCCATCAACCCCTTTGGTTGATTCTCCTTTGGGAGAATTGCATCAATTGTCTTGTCTGAATTGAATCTAACCCTAAGCCTGAGCTGGCTGGCTCTTAAACATGCCCCAATGTAACCACTACGCTGGGTCATTCTCTCAGTTGCTCCTACTTGATTACTTGAGTTGGACACCTAAAGATTAAAGCTGTTGCATTACTGGAAAAAATGACATCCAAATCTTCTCCCTCAATGGCTGCCTATACACATCAATACAAGAGGGCAGTAAATTGAAATCCTGTAATACTCCTCATGGGCGTGTCCAGACGAGCCCACACATGCTTCTTGCAGCATCTCAGACCCCTTTGAGACACTGCAAGAGGCACGTGCAGGAATGAGAAAATGTTCCCCGCACTGTAAGTTTGCAGCATCGGAGCAAAATTAGACCCCTGGATATCCAGGGGTCAAAAAACCCCACAGAAAAGGAAGCAGGACAGGGCAACTGGAGGCTGGGTCCTCCATAGATATGCTCTGGCTGCCAGAGCATCTCTATAGTTAGCTCTTCCCTGCTTCTGAAGCACACTGCTTGCCTGTGAGGCCCCAC